TCTTTCCCTTTCTATGGAGAAGGCTGCTTTCAGGGACGCTAAATCTGATCTTTGCAGGGAATAGCCTACTCTTTGCAGCCATCAGAGGAAACATGATGTCCTAACCCACCTTTTGCTCCCTTCTAGGGTCTGACTGGAAGCCCTGGGAGCCCTGGTCCTGATGGCAAGACTGGTCCCCCTGTAAGTAATACCTGACTGACCACCCTGCTCCTTCCTCCCCACCTCTTGGCTCATCATGGGGTTTGCTAACGAAGCTCTTGCTTCCCCCGTGATAGGGCCCTGCTGGTCAAGACGGCCGCCCTGGTCCCCCAGGCCCACCCGGAGCAAGAGGCCAAGCTGGAGTGATGGGTTTCCCTGGACCCAAAGGCGCTGCAGTGAGTGCCAACATGAGCCGTTTCCCGTGGTGACAAGGGGCTGGTTGGGCTGACCGGTACCCGGCCCCAGCGCACAGGCAGAGATGCTGCACAAGGCCAACTCGGGGCTTGCTCATCCTTGAGGGCTTCCTACAAGCTGGGCCACTGAGACCTCCTGGGACATGGAGGGGCACACTGGCTCCCTCAGGCTGAGCACCCAAGGAGGGGGTGGCTCAGGGGATGCGTCCCCAGGGAAGGGCGAAGGGGAGCGGAGGGGAGAGCTGGTCTAGTGCATCCACTAGCCATGTCCAGGTGGGGGCGCGAGGCTGTGCCCGACAGAGTCATGGTCCCACCTTGGTCTCATTCGGCTCTCTTGTTTTTAGGGTGAGCCTGGCAAACCCGGCGAGAGAGGTGCTCCTGGTCCCCCCGGCGCTGTTGTAAGTATTCACTCAGTCCTGGCAGCTGCAACACATCCGCCTCCTGGGCTTTGAAAGGGAGGTTCACTTCAACGTGGGGCAGAGAGAGCCTGGGCAGGGTGGAAACAGGACTTGAGCTGGCAGAGCCTGGGCCCTAGGAAGGCTCCAAGGAACAAAACTGGCCAGAATATTGTAGTTGGTTGAAGTGGCTGTGAGTCAGGTGTGATCATTGCCAGAGGCTTTGGAGTGGGGACAAAAGGCTCTGCAAGGAGCTGACGTGTCTCAGGGCAGCTCGTGGCTTCTTCTCTGGTCCCCCCAAAGGATGCTATGGCTCCATCCCCCTCTGCACCATGAGGGAAATCTCTCTGCGGTCCCGTAGATTCATTGCTTGGGGACCCCTCCAGAAGCACCTGAAGGTTGGGTCTAGTAGACTGGACCCCTTCCCCAAATCCACCTGTGACCAAACCCTGCTCTGAGCACTTTCTTTCTCCTCTTCCCCAGGGCGCTCCTGGCAAAGACGGTGAAGCTGGTGCCCAAGGTCCTCCTGGCCCTACTGTGAGTATGAATAATCCTTCCTCCCCTGGAGCTGTGCTGGGCCACTGGGGAACGGGTGTTCTGGAGCCGGCTGCCTGCCCTGATGCTTTCCCTGTCTCCTGCAGGGTCCCGCTGGAGAAAGAGGTGAACAAGGTCCCGCTGGTGCTCCTGGTTTCCAGGTGAGGAAAGATCCCCTTTTCCTAGAGGGAAAATCCTCTGTGGCAGCGACGATGCTGCTCCTGTTCTTGTGCCCTTGGTCACCTGCCTCCATAACACCTGTTCTCTTCTCCTCTTTCTCCCCAGGGCCTGCCCGGCCCTGCTGGGCCCCCCGGTGAGGCTGGCAAGCCTGGTGAGCAGGTGAGTGGGGGAAAGCACTGCGTTGCGGCTGTCCCTGTGCCATCCCTGCCACCCCCCCAATAACTCATGTCCTGGCTGAGGGTCAGGGCTGCTGGACAGGCGGACAGGGACACCCAGTGCCCAGCTGCCCCAGGCACCCTGCCCAACCCCTCCGGTCCCAGCCGAGCCAGAAGGAGGCCTGGCTGCCTTCCCGGGATGCGGCAGTGTAGCGGCAGAGCAGCCTCCAAGCGTGCCAGCCTCGACGGGCCTCCACGTGGCCTCCTGGGGGCCAGCAGCACAGAAGACCTCAGCCTCAGTTTGGGGTCGACCTGGGAGCCTGTGTCCTCCTGGGGCTGCCTCATCCCTCCAAGGGGCCAAGGACCCTCTCCGGTCTTGCCCGTCCCCAAGGGCAGAGCAGCGGGAGCCTTGGGGTGGCCTGTGTCTCAGGCTGGGAGGAGAGAGGAGGGTGCCTGCCCTGCCCTGGCCAGGCAGGTTAGGACCCATGCAGTGTTGGTGCAGGGGTTGTTCAACTCCTTCCCATGCTAACACCAAAATCTCTCTGCTTCCCCACACAGGGTGTCCCTGGAGATGCTGGTGCCCCCGGTCCTGCTGGTGCCAGAGTAAGTTGAACTTTGCTTTCCACCTGAGCTGGCTTTTGTCCTTCCCTCTGTGCCTGCTGCCTCCATAACCGGCTTGCCTCCTTTCTTCCCTCCCTTCTCCAGGGCGAGAGAGGTTTCCCTGGTGAACGTGGTGTCCAAGGCCCCCCTGGTCCCCAGGGTCCTCGTGGTGCTAACGGTGCTCCTGGTAACGATGGTGCTAAGGTAGGTCTGGGGTCTCCTCTCCACCTCGATGAGGCGTGTGGGTGGGGACTGTCCCATACAAGGACGTCCCCTGCAATGCATGGGGAGGGTGGCTGTCTCCAGCTGGTGGCTTCTCTGGAGCAGCCGAAAAGAAGGGGAAGCAAAGACCGCGGTCCAACTTTTGCTGGGACGTGGGACCTGCAGGACAGTTTGCTACCTGCAAGCCAGGCTGAAGAAGCGGAGGGGTTTGCTCTGCAGAGGAACGAGCTCTGATTTCTCGCTAACACACATTTTCTTCCTCTCTTGCCCAGGGTGATGCTGGTGCTCCTGGTGCCCCTGGAAACCAAGGGCCTCCCGGTCTGCAGGGTATGCCCGGAGAGCGTGGTGCTGCTGGTCTGCCAGGCGCCAAGGGTGACAGAGTACGTATCCTTGGATGTCCCTTGGTCCCTCTCGGCAGCTGCCCCCTCTTCTCAGGCCGTGCCTTCGCACCCCTATCTCCAGCCTCACACCCCCCAGCTCCACGGGGGCTGGATGTGCCGTCACTCCGCAGGGCCAAGGCAAAGCCAGACCCAGGCGCAGGCACCCGTAGCAAAGCCCTTTCCCACTCGTGTGCTTGCACAAGCACGGCCCTCGGAGGCCGGTAGACAAACTGGGGGTTTCCTCCAGAAATGGGGTGGTGGAAGAGGACCTCAGCCTCTCCCAGGCTGGAAACAGCAGGGCCAAAAGGTGGGAGGGCGAAGAGCCAATGATGCTGTGGGTCGCACTCTGGGCTGGCACAGAGAGCCGTGGTGAGGAGCAGGGGGATGAGGTCTAACCTGCCATGGCCTTCCTCTCCCCTAGGGTGATCCTGGTCCCAAAGGTGCTGACGGCGCTCCTGGCAAAGACGGTCTCCGAGGTCTCACCGGTCCCATCGGCCCCCCTGGCCCAGCTGGTGCTCCCGGTGACAAGGTGAGGTGGCAGCGGGCAGGGATGCTGCACAGGGGACGTGGCATCGTCACCACCACCGGCTCCTCCTGACCTGCCACGTGCCGGAGCCTCATTTCTAAAGGTTTTAACCTGTTTCTTTTCTCCCCATTGCCAGGGTGAAGCTGGTCCCCCCGGCCCTGCTGGTCCCACCGGTGCCCGTGGTGCTCCCGTAAGTGTCTCGCAGCTCGCGGCCCCATCGGTGGTGGCTGTCTCTGCCCGGCCCTGACACCAGCTCTCTTGGCTTCTCTCCTAGGGAGACCGCGGTGAGCCTGGCCCACCTGGTCCTGCTGGATTTGCTGGCCCTCCCGTAAGTCGGCACGGCCACCTCGGCCACGGGTAGTCGCTCGCTCTCCCCTCGCTCCTTCCTCCGGGATCAGCCGGATCCTGCGTTGCTGGGAGATGGGGGCGATGCTACCGGGGAGCTGGAGAGATGCTCTCCCACGGGATGCTCTCCCGTGGGATGCACCGTCTGCTGGCCTCACTCCCCGCCCCATCGAGGGGGGCTCGTAGCCCCTGGCACCCCCCGGGCTCATGCCGGCTCTGCTTTCCCACAGGGAGCTGACGGCCAGCCTGGTGCTAAAGGTGAAACTGGTGATGCTGGAGCCAAGGGTGATGCGGGTCCTCCCGGCCCCGCTGGCCCCACCGGTGCTCCTGGCCCTGCCGTAAGTAGCCCCTCAACCCCCATCCTGCCCCCACCCCTGGCCATGGCTTGACTTCGCTGCTCACTCCTCCTCCTCCTCCACAGGGTGCTGTTGGTGCTCCTGGTCCCAAAGGTGCTCGTGGCAGTGCTGGACCCCCTGTAAGTACCACAGCTGGTCTCGGGTGCAGGGGGATGCTAGGGAGCTCCGGCGCGGGAGCGGGGGTGCTGGATCCCATGGCCCACTGTGGGCAGCTGAATGCTCCATGAGATTTTGCTCTGGGACCCACGACAGCATGATGGGCCCAATTTTGGGGGACGGGAGATGCTGCATTTCCAGCTCTGCCTCTCAGAAGACCGCTTCTACCTGGGGCTATTTCATCCCATGGTGGGGGGCAGAGCAAAAAGGGGGAAGGTTTGCCCTCATCCCCCCAAATTAATAATAATTCCCCACCTGGACTCATGCACAGCTTTTTCCTTTTGGCCGATGGCTCTTGGGCTCCCCGTGGGCCCCCCAAAGGCGAGGGGGATGCGCTGGTCCTCAGCCAGGGCACCATCTGCTCAGCATGTTTCGCTGCTTGGGGCAGCGGGTTGGGGGCGCTCGTCACATCTGGAGGAGCCCCACTCCCAAATCAGGGCCTTCCCGACATGAAGCGCTGATGCATCCCGCTCAGGGCCCAGGTGCTGAGCCTGCCTGCAGCCCCCAGGCACAGGGGCAGCGTGGCGAG